AGGCTATGTGGCGCTTCGACTCCTCCTCTGCGGAACTCACTAGATAGAGTAGTGAAACATATTTAGTATTTATTTATTTTTTTAAATTCAAGCTTCTCATCAGAATTAAACCAATCCAAATATGCCAGGCAAGATTCAACTTTATTGTATGAAAACTAGATGTGGGATGAATGTCATTTAACCATCAAAAAAAAATTTCGTTTTAAAATCTCCAGTAGATGTACTCACTCAAAACTGTTAATCAATCAAGCACTTTTCTCTTCTATGAAATGAAACTAAATGAGTGGACCTATATTCTAGGTATAGATCTATGAATTTTGCAACATTTAACTGCACACGTGAGAATATAGGCCACCACAGTGTTTTATTTATTGTGAGCACTTGTCTTTTGTATAAGCCTACTGTAAAACTCGGTGTTACAATCTAAGTTTTTCGCACTCCTACCGAAAAATTATAATTTATTTCTGATGTAAAAAGAATGGGTTATGAATTATCGGAAGGCTGACTTTGAAGTTAGTGTAAGTCACCTATACGTGTACCATGAAAATGCATTGTGCGCTGAGCAATTTGAACTGTACATACTGCCTTTGGAAATTTGCATCTTGAACAATTCTAGTTCAGAATGCTGTGCCCATGCTGTTTACTGTTCCAAACCCTCCAAAATAAATAATTATTGTTCCCTCCAGGCCAGTTTCAAAGGATACAGGTCCTGTCCATGACAAAAGATCTAGTGTCTGCAATGTGATGTGAGAGTTTTGAAGAAGAAATAAAAAGCGGGAAAAAACAAAACCTTGACATTTAAGAAGACAATGTGCTGCTGTAATAGATCTACTACAGAATACATGTAACAAAATTAAAGAGACAAGAAAATTACAAAGCTTATTTAATTAAGTAAGGAAGTGCTAGCTTGACCCTGTCAGGACCACCCTTGAAGTTTGTAAAGCCCCAAATGTATGTGCCTGACAGAGAAGTATGGACATAATATACAAAAGAATCAGCAAGAGACAATGCACACAGCAAAGCAGTCTAAGAAAGACTGTCACATTCACCCACTTCTAAGAGCCAGTTTCAGTAAAGTGCTATTAATCCATGAAAGATGCATTATACGTATTTATGTATACATGCATATATATATATATATGTATATAGATCTCTCTCTCTCTCTCTCTCTCTCTCTCTCTCTCTCTCTCTCTCTCTCTCTCTCTCTCTCTCTCTCTCTCTCTCTCTCTCTCTCTTTCTCTCTCTATGTATATATATATATATAGATAGATAGATAGATAGATAGATAGATAGATAGATAGATAGATAGATAGATAGATACTAGTCAACAAAAGTTAAGGAAGCACTGTAAAAACAGTGATATATATGCATGCATTTTTTCGAGGTTTTACTTTTACTCATAAAACTAGATATAGGTGAAATGTTACTCTATGACTAATGGGCTTGTGCACACCAGGGTTTGAAATGCACCTGAGGCCTGTGCGCTGAGCTGGGGAGGGAGCAAAAATGTCCAATGTTTTCCAATTGTCGATTTTTATTCTCTCGCTCTAACCGCCAGGAAAAAGGATAAACGCTCAAAAATCAGTTTTCACTTTCAAGATTCATGTCTCTTGAGTGAGTTGCACCCACTCTTTTGCACTGTGGATACACCATTCTGCTGCTGTAGGGCTAAGCGTAAACATGGCTCCTCGACAGAAATTTTCTGATGTAAGAAGAGGACCAGCCATTGCTTGGGTACAAGACGGTGTTTCGCTCCGACAAGTTGCTACACGTCTTCGAGTGTGCGTTTCTGTCATTTCACGTCTGATTCAGCGTGTCAACGCTACTGGTAATACCCAGGAGCTACCCAGATCAGGTCGACCAAGAGCCACTAATGCAAAGGAAGACCGATTCATTAATAGACATGCTCTGCAGTCGAGATCCGCTCTTGCAAATCGCACCCGGAAACGGCTGAGACCGACTACTCGTGTTAACATTAGTTGTCAGACCGTACGAAGACGTCTTCACGAGTTTGCACTTAATGCACGTCGACCAGCAGTCCGTCAGCGTCTCACCCCAGCACACGAGGCTTCTCGTCTTGCCTCTTGCCGACGCCATGTAAGATGGACACGTCAACAGTGGACAAACGTTCTCTTCAGCGACGAGTACCTGTTCTCTTTGCATCACAATGACGGTCGTATCAGGGTTTGGAGGCGACCCGGAGTGCGGCTCCTCTATGCAGCCGTCAGAGAGGTGGTTCCTTTTGGTGGTGGTTTCGTGATGGAATGGGGGGCTTTCGAACCACAGAACACCTCAGTACCATGTGCAAGGGAATCTCGCTGCAATATGTTACCGAGATGAGATACTCCGTCCATTAGCACTACCTACCCAGCAGCAGATGGGGCCACACGCGGTGTACTAGGATGACATCACCCTACCTCATAGAGCGTTGCTTGTCCAAAACTTCAAGCAGCAGGCTGGCATCAACCGAATGGACGAGCCGGTCTGCAGTCCGGACTTGAATCCCATAGAAAACCTTTGGGATGAGCCGCAACGTCGAGTCAGAGACAACCACCTCGCTCAAGGAGACGCGCAGCAACTGTTTCAAATGCTGCAGGCAGAGTGACAGGGGATGCCTCAGAGAGTGTTCACCAACCTCATGAACTCGATGAGGAGCCAGTGTACTGAGTTCCAGGACAATCGTTGTGGGCATACTCATTATTGAAATCATCTGAACTGTTTTGTTTTTGTTGTAGTTGTAGTCAGAAGTTAAAACAACTTCGAAACCACTTGATCATTTTGTGATTTGGGATTTTAACCCCTAACAAACTAATGAGCTTTTCAAGCAAGTTAAAATGGAATAACTTAATTTTCTTTTTTGTTATTTGTTATACACATGTTGATCAAAATGTGTACCAAATTTCATTTCGTGTTGAAGTTTGTTTTCGAAGTTGTACACTTTTTTCCAATGTTCCTTAATTTTTATTGACTAGCTTATATAATATATATATATAT